GATTATTTGTTGTTTAGGAATTTTTATTTAGGTAGTTTTTATTTTGGGGAATTAGTAAATTGATTTTCTAATTTTTTAAATTTATTACAGGTAAAGAAAATGGTGATGTTTATAAACTTACTTATCAGGATAAAGAAGGTGATTGGCTTCTTGCTGGTGATGTACCATGGAGGTATGTCTAAAAGAATTAATCATTTTTTTATTTTTTATTTCAAGATTTTTTTTTATGAAATTATAATTAATTTGGGAATTTGTGATTTTTTGCAGGACTTTTGTTGGGTCAGTGCAGAGGCTAAAATTGATTAGAGATGAAGATTATTGATTAGTGGAATATATTATTATCCCCTTTATATTTTAATGTCTATTTTATTTTTACCTTTTAATGTCTAGAAAGATGTAATCTCAAATGGAGTTTTGACTATTTTGTGAAGAACTAGTTTATGACATACTCTCTTTTAAGTATAACCAAAAAAAAATAAAATGATATAGTCTATCATAAATATATTAGACATATTTTCCCCAAAAGAAATTTTAGCATTCATTCACTTAGTTTTCTTTTACCCTTTGGTTGTGTTTTAGCGATAATAATATATTCAGTATATTATTATAAGTAAGATTTGAAAAAAGTAGAGTGTATGTGCAAATCTTATCTTTGAATTTGCAAGGTAAATGCTATTTTTGATAAAGTCTCGACTAAAAAATGAACCTATATTGCAGAATAAGTTTGAAAAATTCTGCTTAATTAATTTACTAGTTAATAAATTGATAGTTAAGACAAATTGTTATCAAGGCAAATGGGGTGAGTTTAATTTAACGATATTTCCAAAATAGAGGATTGTCTAAATCATATAAAAAAGATCATCAATTATTTTATCTATTGATGTGAGATTTTTCAACACAAATCAAGTCTATTTATGAAAATTTAAGCACTTAGCATATCTTGTAGAGTTCACAAAACATACCATACTCGAAATCTTTGGAAAAATAAAGTATAAACTAAAAAGGCATAGTCATAAAATTTCTTACATTCTTTTCCAAGTATATATTTGAGGAACATATTTGAAGATTATATGTTAAATAATGATATTTACTAGGAGTGACAAACGAACAGATACAGATAAAAAAAATGAGTTAAACAAAAATTTAAGTAAAAATTAGGCAAATGACATAGTATAAGAAATAAATTACTCCCTTTCCCTACTCTTTCATTAATTACCAAAAATTCATTTTTTTAGTGTTTTTCGGATACATAATATAGCAGTGTGGATACTTAATATAGCAGCGCGGATACTTTAATTAATAACGGGCGGATACTTAAATTATTAAGTTGTTAGCAGCACGGATACTTAATTAACGGGCGGATGCATAATATAGCAGCGCGGATACTTTAATTAATAACGGGCGGATACTTAAATTATTAAGTTGTTAGCAGCACGGATACTTAATTAACGGGCGGATACTTAAACTAATAAAGTATCTGGTTAAGTTGAATTGGGGGAAAATAAGGGATTTTTGTATTTTAATAAAAGAGTAGGGAAATATTGAGAATAGGTAAAGAAGTGTTGTGTATTTAAGTAATTTTTTCCAAAATTTAAACCGCATACTAAACAACCCTTTTTAAGGTAGTGAAACCATAAAAAGGCGATTACAATTAGATCCTTATACTGATGGGCTGGCTATCAATCACTCCAAGCCCATTTTCTTCAGCCCAATGGGCCTTTACATTTTACTTCTAACAGGAAGAAAATTATGCCCAATAACCTTGGAAACCAGGACAAATTTAAATTTTATGATTTCTAAATTTTAGAATATGATTATCAAGTATTAATTATGATATTTTAAATTTAATTTTATACATATTTAAAAAATAAGAATTTGTACAAATATAAAAATTGAATCGAAACTATTAAGATTGACTGAGTTAGTAAAATCGACCTTTTAGCTCCACCCTATTAGGAGAAAATAGAAAATATTAACAAGATTTTTGGATGTGAAATCATAGAATAACTAAATAAAAAGTGGCTGCTAATTATTGGTCAAAATATGTTAAATTAATCAACCGACTCTTTTGGGAAGAAGACGCGCACAAAACCCTCAATATTATGCTTGATCCCAATTAATCATATTTAATTGACTAGTCAACCAAATTATGAAGTGAACTTTATCTTTTAGGATAATAATTTTAGTTATCGATAAATTTTAATTTTAATTCTTATGATATATTCAACATATTCAATTTTAATTAATTAAAATAAGTGTTTTGCTCCTTATAATTGAGAAATATATTGCATTTTAATTACTTTAAAAGTTATATTGCCTTAAAAAAGAATATCAATACAAGTTTAATATAACACCCACATAATTGAATAATGAAAGAGTTAAGAAATAAGATAAATCAGTGAAATTTACAAATGAATTGATCAAAGTAATTGAGGAATTAGGAAAAAGAAAAAAAAAAGGTGAAAATTTGGGATATTCATATATTTAGGTGGGCCGAGCCATCGATGAGATATCACTCTGAAAAAATTAGACTTTTAATCTTGTATCAAGACCTACATGCTAAGGGACAGTGTCAGGGTAGACAATTTCTATGGAGCATAGGGTTTTCAAAAGATAATAAAGGCGCGCAAAAATTTAGCCAAGCGATGATTTAACCTTGTATTAAGATTTACAGGTTAAAAGATAATCTCAGATAAACAATTTGTATCAGGAAAATTTAACGCTCGAAGGTAAAAAAAAAAGAGCTTAACTACAAGCCCATCCGATAAGTAGAAGCTAAAGTCGACCTTAATAATCTGATGATGACGAGTTAAAGGGCATAGATTATAAGATTCAAAATTGATGTTAACTTTAATCTTTGATTTTTATTTTTTTACACCAAGTTGACTTAAACAAAAATCTCATCATTAGTTACTTTTCATGTAGGTGACGTGGCAACAGCTTATTGGTAGAAACATTCAACTCTCAAATAATATTAATATTAAAATTTAAAACCCACTAGAAAACAAGATATTCCAGTATGTACTGACTACTGACTATTCTACGTTCTTGAGGGGCAAAATTGTCCTTTCACATTAATATCCATATGTCTGAAAGACGAACCATGTGGAGCACCGAACTACTGCACGTGCTGACGATGAAGAAAGGGTAGGATTCAGTACGAGCAAGCCCAGGTAATAAACTAGAATTTCCAATGATACATTGACACGTGTCATTTGTTTAAATAATTCTTATTTTACTTTTTCGTATTAATTACTCCCTCCGTCTACAATTGTTTGGCAGGTATACTAAAAATAGATGTCCAAGATTAATTGTCAATTCTTGCTATTGTAGAGTTATATTAGTCAAATTACACCTTGTATTAAATTTTTCTTGATGGATGTGCATGACCTTACCCTGACAAACAATTGTGGACGGAGGGAGTATATACTTAGATATTAATCCATATAAATATTGTAGTTATATACTCATATTAATCGTTTTTCAAGGGACATGTAAAATTTAAAGTAAATAAGATAAAATAAATCGAACGGGTAGTTAATATAAATTCACAACCCCACCCCACCCATATTCTTGAGCTTTTTTTTTAGTGATCTTTTCTTTGAACTCTAACAACCACAAAACAAGCAAACCAACCAACATTAATTAAATGTCATTTTCATACTTTAAGATCCACTAATCATTTGTATTATAATTGGAAATCTAGCAACAAAATACAGGTATTATACAATATAGTATATACTAGTATAAAAAAACTTTAAGCCATTTTGATTGGTGTAGAGTATAGACCTTATCATGGTAATTCATGTACAGAATCCCCACTCTTTTCTGCCATTTTCAAAGCCTGTTTAACCAGTCCTTCTTTCTCTTCTCCTCTGTTTGTCACATGCCATTAATGCCCTTAAAGCTTCTTCATTTTTCTTCATAATTTGCAAAATATACAAATATTTTTGCATAATATTAAATACCCATCTCATATTTCTTTGTAAAAATTTATATGGTAGCCATTGACATATATAGGGATATTCATATTGACAATTTATTCTATAACTTGGTTTTGAAATCTGGTTATTTCAGTCTCTCCAGCTCAAATTAAAGGTGGGTTTTTTTTAAAAAAAAAAAAATAAAAAAATCATTTCTTGTTCATATTTAGCTTCTTTGTTTGTTGTTTTGTTCATTTTTTGAATCTTGAAATCTGAGATGTGTAATTTGTTTGTGTTGGGGTTTTGTTTGGTTTCATTTATTATTAGTTTGTGTTGAATGGATTTTAGTTTACAAAATTGTAACTTTTTTGGTAAGATTTGTTTGTTACCCTTTTCTTGTTATGGAAATATTTTAAGTCAGAGAGGTGAATGGAATTTAATGATGTGAATAATTTTGTCAAAATATAGAATCATATTTGCACTTATTAAAGACAACCTAGTAGTATATTCTGCTGTCTATTGACTTTTTTTCTGGGGAAATAAATGGCTACATATTCATGAATAGTTCTCCACTTATTAAACACAAATGGTATAATTCAGCCGAGGGTCTTTAGGAAATAGACTCTCTATCTCCACGAGGGAGTGGTAAGATCGGTGTACATACCACCCTTCCTTAGATGTTACCTATGGAATTACACTTAATATGTTGTTGAAACACATGTGGTTTATCCTGCTTTGTATTGATTTCTGAAAAATTAATGTATTTTCAATATTCATGATCTTCTTTTACGACATTCAGGATGTAGAGTAGGTTTATCGATTTCTGAGCTGAGTATCTATAAGAAACAACCTATCTACATGTGTAATTACACTGAATATGTTGTTGTTGTTGAGGATGTAGAGTAGAATCTAGCAGAAACATCCTTATGACCATGTTTCATGTTAGAATGTTCTGTCTTTTCGCCTCATCTTGTAATCAGTTTGTTAGTGTTAAAAGAGGATGTTTTTTTTTTTATCAAACCAGTTTGGTTAAAGAAATTGATTCAGAATATTGTTTTGCTTTGTCACTCATTGCAGGGGAAGCATTTGGATGGAATTATTTGCTTGGAATTGTATGTCAAAAGTTGGACAAAGATCCTAGTTCCTTAATAGCTTCCTATTAGAAAGCTTTTGCAGGCCTCGTATGAGGCAAACGTTGCTATAGAAGGCGTCGATCGGAGAGGCTTGAAGATGGATCTTAGAAGTTCACTTATTGCTAAATTTTGTCCTGATTCTCACATTGGCTCCTCCAAGCTTAAACTTTGGTACTTGTGGTAAGATGCAAAACTCCATTAAAAAAATATACTTGCTTAGTTTGTCTTGAATGTGTGATATGTCGAAAAAATTTAGGTCCAAGTCCTGGCCAACTTCATGCTACATGCTTAGTGGGAATAAGTTGGAGAATTGAGTGTTTTGAATGAGTTGATCCTAACGGAACCAAGGTAGAAAGGCAAGATTGGGAGATATGTTTGTATTAAGGGTGATAGTGTGAGTGTGTGACTAAGGGGCAGAGTGGTCTCGTATAGATGTCTAAAGGAGCTGTAGTCAAAGGTAGTCGAAAATCTACACTATATCTACATGGTCAATAGTATTTTTTGATGTATATATAGAAGATATTGAACCCCTTGCCTTCTTCGTATGTTTACTTCTTTCTATTTTGAATCCCCTTCGTGAAAATTCTGGTTCGCCACTTGTTGTAGTCATACATAAACATGGAAAATTGAGCTCTCCATATAAACCTCTATTGAATATTATTATTGTAAGTGATTAATAGAGTTGCAACAACTAAGAAGAATTATTGAACACTAATAAACTATCCTAAGTAAACACGAACTGTTGAAAGATAAACGTAAGCTGACTACTGGAGTAGTGAGTAGCGTTCCAATACCGTTTACTTCTTCATGTTCCTGCTGAAATTAGTAATGGTAAAGGGGCGGAGCCAGATGAGGATCAGCAGAAAATTACACTGTTTATACCTAGTTAAAATTATTTTATAGTGAATGTTGAACCCTCTTTTGCTTCTTCGTGTGTTTGCTTTTCATATTTTGAACCTCTTGGTGAAAATCCTGGCTCCACCACTGGTAACAGGGAGACATAAGTATTGCGTGAATATATTCTTGTTGAGATACTGTTTTCTCCCCTGGTTGATTGTATTTTCGTCGATTACAAGTTGTTTCCACAAGTCTCATGTCTTGAAGAATGATTTAGTATATGCTATGTCAAAGATTTTGGTCTTGGGTACTATGTAGTATATTTCTTCCTTCCTTTTGCACTTTGTGGACGAAGTAAAAATAGAGATGGGAGGGATTTGAGAAGTTTGTTTCCCAACAGTGGTGGAGCCAGAATTTTTACTAAAGGGAAATATAAAGATGTAAACACACAAAGAAACTAAAAGGATTCAACATCTTCTATATATACACAAATAATTTTGACCTTATAGATATAGTGTAATTTTTCGACGAATTGTACCCCTGTTTCCTAGCACGAACTATCAGATTAAAACAAACTATACTTTTAGAGATGATTGTCTTTTCGATAAAGCTCAACAGAAACTCTCTTAAGTATCTCCTCTAGTAAGACTTCAATGTATCATCTACGTTTTTTTGTTTTATAGAACTCAATGCATGTGAATCTGTGAGCAATATACATTCATCTGGAGATCTAGTTTTTGTTTCAATAGATTTGCAGGCATAGTACTTTTCTATGTTAATAGATGTCTAGCCGGGCATTTTAGCAATCTTGGCGAGTGAGCGTGCGTTCTATGTAGCATAGCATGCGAGGACAATTTGTCTTTTGAACCTAAAAAAGTGATTAATCTCTATCAATAGACCTGCTAAAGCTACAAACCATAGCGTACTTAGTATTGGTGCCATGGAGAGATATTGTATTTAGATCTCGCACCTTCTCTTGTATTATTTGTTGGAATAGATAATACATATATGATCAGATGCATATGTACTTAATGGCTACTTAGAGTTGGACACGGAATTCCTAATTCAAATCGAAATATACAATGATTCGGGTTTTTCCTAACTCATCTGAAAATGTGCAGACTATATAACTTTGAACCATGAGAAGATGTTAGGCAAACTTATGCCGTGGTCTCGGATGGTCCCAAGACATTCTCGCCTTATCTCCAGACGATCTCATGGAAAAGTGATTTATATCGTGCTCTTGATACTAGTACCAATTTTGCTCTTTGGCATTTACCTCCATTTCCATAAGATCTCCTATTTCTTCCGTCCACTTTGGGACAAACCTCCACCTCCATTTGAGCATTTGCCACATTATTATGCTGAAAATGTTTCTATGGATAATCTTTGTCGCCTACATGGATGGACTCTACGTCCTGAACCACGTCGTGTATTTGATGGGATCATATTCAGCAATGAGCTAGACTTGCTTGAAGTAAGGTGGCGCGAGCTCTATCCCTATGTTACGAAATTTGTCATCTTGGAAGCCAACACTACTTTTACTGGACTTCCAAAGCCATTGTACTTCTCTGATCATCGGGAACGATTTGCATTTGCTGAGGATAAGATTGTACATGGTGTATTTCCTGGCCGGATTGCATCCCCTGAGTTACATGAAGATCCGTTTAAACTAGAAGGACAACAACGCATTGCAATGAACAGGTTACTTCATGCTGCTGGTATCTTTGAAGATGACCTTCTCATTATGTCAGATACCGATGAAATCCCAAGCCACCACACTATTAAACTTCTTCAGTGGTGTGACGGTATGCCTCCCGTGATGCATCTTGAACTTAGACAGTACATGTACTCTTTCGAGTTCCCTGTGGACTATAGTAGCTGGCGCGCCAGTGTTCACATTTACAACAGGTGGACGAAATATAGACATTCCCGCCAAACAGATGTTATACTTTCTGATGCAGGTTGGCATTGCAGCTTTTGCTTCCGGAATCTGCAAGATTTCGTATTCAAAATGACTGGTTACAGTCACGCAGACAGAGTTCGACGTACAAACTTCCTAAAGTATTCTAGGATTCAGAAGCTAATATGTGAGGGAGCTGATCTTTATGACATGTTACCTGAGGAGTATTCTTTTCAAGAATTGATCAAGAAAATGGGATCAATACCTCGATCAGCATCCGCGGTTCATCTTCCCAACACACGTCATTGAAAACGCAGATAAGTTCCGATTCCTTCTCCCAGGAGGTTGTCAGCGATCACCACGATGATACTCACACGTTAACTTATTCGTCTTGCTTCATCTGCTAGTTTTAGACCTTAGTGTTGTTTTTCCACTCAAGTTTGCAGATGTTTTAGCTGTAATAAGTTGAGTTTTTTCCATCTTTGTAATGAGAAAAATAGGTTCTCTTACCTTTTGAGTTTTGCCAATATATGTGATACACATTTTACATCAAAATACTTGTCAAATGAAAAGCATTGTTCTTGGATATATTGTTGTTGTAGCGTTCCAATTTTATCGGATGTCTTCGAAGGAACTTAGTCGATTTCTCTCTAATGTCCAGTGTAATTCTACAAGTGCGGTCTGGAGAGGTTGGTGTGTATGTAGCTTTATCCCCATCTTATAAGGGTAAAGAGGCTATCTTTTATACAACCTCGGCTTAAGTAACCATATAAAAAATCAAGCAAGTAAAGAAAATACAATAGTGAAGAAGAAAACAATATTAGCAAGAACAAATAATATGATCACTAAAGCAAATGAAACATGTTATACTAAAATCGAAGAAAAAGATTGTAGAAGAGTAACCACAACAATACTGATAAGGAAACTAGACAAGTCTCGACTACCTACTAAGCTTTACCCTAATCCTCGATAAAAGTGGAATGCTATAGAGAGCAAAAAGACTAATAAAGCCCTGTTTGGGGTTGGCTTAGTGGCCAATGTCATTCTTTCACTTTTCTAGGACAATAAAGTACTTTTAAGGTGCATAATAGTGTGCATCTAAATCTTGAAAAGTTGTAGCAACAAATGGAGAAAAAAGAGAAAGGGTAAACTCAACAAATGACAAAGAAGGAAAAGGGAAAAGAAGAACAAAGTGTTGGTAAGATTCTCAAGAAAGTGTTGGTAGGGTTTGAACATAAAATTGGTGATTTTTTAAAACATGTGTGGGACAAGTGGAAGGTGAGTTGTTTACGCGCTCTCTCGATATGTTTAAAAATATCTCGGAAAAAGAATCTATATCTATATATAAATCTGAATGAGAAACTGCTGATGTGGCACCTCTTAGAAGTTAGGATTCCTATTTATCTATTTTTTCAATTCTTTTAATCTTTCATCACACTAAATATAATATGATTTAATATTACATTCAATAAATTAAGCATTACTTGCATTGCAAGAATAGAAAGAAAATTACCATTTATGGACAATAAAGGTTTAATTACAATTTTATTATAATTAAGGAAAGAGAAAATTACCATTTATGGACAATAAGGGTTTAATTACAATTTTATTATAATTAAGGAAAGAGAAAGGTTACAATAAACGTTTAATTACAATTTTACTATAATTAAGGAAAGATAAAGATTAATTCAACATTCTATAATCACATTTAATATTCTAAATATTAATTGTATAGTTGGAAACAGAAGAAAAATCCCATTTCCGGAAAAAAAAAATTCTAATATCCTAATCTGAAACTTTTGGCATTCTCTATAATATTAAAAATTATATATTTCATTTAGAATAATTATGTATTTATGGGATGAAACAATGAAATCATTTGCAACTTTTATTATTAACATAAATACATAATGATTAAAAATATTGTGAGTATATAAAGAGAATCATCTTTTAAGGAAAATAAAAAATTAATTACAATATATATTTTTATCTATTTTTTAAACCCTCTATATTTCTTTATCTATTTTTTTACTTTTTTTTAAACCCTCTATATTTCTTTATCTATTTTTTTAAACCCTTATCTTTCTTTTCTTTCTTTCACGTTCTTTCAATAAAATAAGAGTATAAACTTTTTTTTTATTATAGTCATTTATATCATTTTCTTATATTTCCATCTTCAATTTTATTAAATTCATCTCTTTATTCTATTTGTGTATAAGCTGATTATCCTTTCATATTCTGCATTAATGTTATTTATTAAGATTAATTAAAAGTCATTATAATATTCTTTTAAATACGGTAGCAAAAGAAGCCCCAATTCAAATCCAACCATGATTTTTTTCACAATTTTCTTTTCTAGCTTTTCAATATTGCTATTAGAAAATAATACTTTGGAGAGACATAAGGTAATCTAACTTCCTTACTATTTTTATGTTTATACTATTATGAATTTTATTTTTTTTCATTTCATTAAATTATATAATCAACAAAAATATGATGATTATATTGTATATAACAATAAACATTGAGGCATCTTTCATACTGTCAAATAATTGTTCCAGCAAATTGAGATTTACATTTTTATGAAATTGCTTGGTTGTTGTAAAGGGGTTCATAATAAGAATATTTATATTAAATTAAATACAAATGCATTGTTCATATGTTTCCTCTCTTTTTTTTTCAATGAATTTGGCAGGCTTTATCAAGCTAAGGGTTTCAGGACACATCTTTTCTGTTTCTCTATTATTTTTCTTCATATTTTACTTGTGAAATTACATTAAATATGTTTTTGTTGTTACATTATTAGATAATATTTAAATTTTATTTTTATGAGAAATTGTAATTGTTTCTGTAAGTTATCATGGCATGGTGTGATATTGGTGATTGTCGAGACATGTATGGAGGAGAAGACATGGAAAAAGTTCTTTCAGAAGCATCTTGTCATTTGAGTATTTTCTCTATTTTCATCTAACACCCAAAATATAATAAAAAATTGTTGGATAATAAAGAGATGTCAAATGAAAAATTATCTCAATATATGATAATTGATTGATTTATTAGTTTCATTATTCATACATATTAGAGGTTTGGTTTAATTTTTTGGAAAATAATATTATTATTTTTAATTATATTGTTCAAAAGATATTGATTGTTGAATTCGACTATTATGTTTTACTCGCGGGTTCAAAATTTATTTAAAAATGAAAAAGTGTTAATTATATGTTTAAAACTTACTTCCGAATGAAAATGTGTTAACTAATAACTATATGTTCAAATAATTTTAAGCACGGATAAGCTTATTTTGTTACCATTATAATAGAATAGTTAAAATGAATTTATCAACAAATTAACAAGAAGTCTTGACTAAATTTGTACTTAATAATTTTAAACTTAACAAGTATAAGGATCTTTAAATTTAAAATTGTGTTAAGATTTGAAATTTTTTTATTGACGGATAGTCTTAATTAGATAAATTTAAACTTTTTACTTAATTAACATGTCATAGTCCTCTTGCTAAAATATATTAAGTGGATATTTAATTTTTAGAAGGATTGTAAATTATTTATATATATACATGTTTCTTTTAAAATCTTTAGTAACTTATTGACTTGTGCTAAATAGTTATATCACCACAGAACAGTTAGGAAGAGAAAAAGTGAGGGTGATATTTTTCTTTAGTCAAGAAATGCAATTCTATATTTTTTTAGATTTCTTTTTTTATTTATGTGCTATATTAAAAGAATTTAAAAAATATTTAACTGTTAATTATATTAAATGTGCATGGCAAAGAAATTAAAAAAAAAAACATTTTTAGAATATGTTAAATGTAAAAATTAATTTGTCTTTATTTTCATTAATTACTCCACACAACTTTATATTATTATGACCTATAAAATAATTAATAGTCATATTCATCATATTATTTGGTATTTCATATAGTAGCCCTGTAAATAAAATCATTGCAGGATTTTATAGAAGATCACATTAGATTTTTAGGTTGTTATATTTCCGGTGCTTATTATATTCATATTTTAATGTGATTTGAAGAATAAGATGAGAAATGGTGATCGGCTTGTGGGAGTGGACGTTCATAAGAACTCGAAAGATATGTGTATTGATTTCATATTTTTCCTTCTATTTTTAATGAGTAAGGAATTAAGAATGATGTTGCATTTTTATTGATATGATTTATCTTTATTTTGTATCTTATGTGAATTTCTTATTGCAATTTTTTTGTTCAAAATAGTAAAAAATTTAATAACTTCATTGGAAGTCTACTAAGTACTCATCAAACGTTTTTCTCTTACATCAATATTATATTTAATAAAATTATCAAAATTTTATCACTCTTTTTAACCGCGCGAAGCGCGGAGAAGTTCACTAGTATATATATATATATATACACGAAATTTGTTCCCATTATCGTGAAGGAACAATGGATGCAATAGCATTGCAAACCTTATTCTTAGTAAAGCACCTGATCCCCAACTTACAAAGGTTGATTAGTTAAACATTTTTTTCCGAAATTTTATGATTTATATATAGGGCACTTTATCTAAAGTTTATATCCTCTTTCGACCAAAAAAATTGAGTATTTGATTTACTTGATTAAATTTAAAAGAAAAGAAATTAAATACTTTTAATTTCCTTTATATTATCCTCTTTATTCATGTTACCTAAAGGACACTCAAGTCAACCCTTGTTGATTAAGCAAATAATATAATTAGTGGGTTTTTTAAAAGCCAGTCACCACTCACCAGTCACCACCAAGCACATCAATTTACTAAATTTAGTGGGGAAGTGTCATTTCATCAAACAACAAAAATGTTTCACTTTAACTATGTAAGATTAGAATGAGACAGGTTACACATAATAGTACATAAGGTTGTTGAGGAGCACTAACGTGCTAATTACCGATCAGGATTGTGGTAGAGTAATAAGTACTCTTTCATCCTTAATCAAGAAATTTCAAGTTTGAGTCTCCTTAGGTACAGAGTCACCTTTGTTAGGAAGCGCTTTATTCCAATTTGAGACTTTTTTATCCGAATTCGAATTGTATCGTACGCCAGGTGGGAAACAAAAAAAAAAACTTTGTGCTAACTATTATACTAATAATAGTGTTATATTAAGCAGCAACTGAGAGAGCTAAAAGTATAGATACGAGTTCAACTAAACTTAACAATATTTCTTTAGACAATGCATTAGTGTAAAGAAGTTTATTAAATATATACAAATATTAAATTTAGAATCCAGTTATTATCACAAGCATATTATTATAAAATTTAGAATCCATACGTCATAAGGTTAAAACTTTGTATTCGCCTCTACCACCCACCCAAAAAGACAAAAGATTGAAAAGGGGAAAATAATGGAAAATAATTAACAGTTGCTCTTGATGACTTCCAATTAAAGAAAGCATAATTCTTGATGTACAAGAAGGTTTTGTCGTTACATAATTAAATTATTCTTGATGTACAAAAAGGTTTTGGTGTTACATATTAAAATTAGGGGTGTACAAAATCGAACCGAAAATCAAATCAAATCACAAATTGAGT